CTGACAGTTGTTTTGACAAGAGCTAATGGGAGCTGGTAGGTAGAGGAATGAGAGGCAATGAGCAGGGACGAAGGGACACTTCTCAGTAGGGCTAAGTAACCTGTCCTTAACCACGTCTGGCACTGCTCAAGGGCAAGCTGAAGGTACCAAGCCTGCTCTCACACACCAAAGCCCTTCAGGCCTTTGCCAGCTCCGATTTCTAGTTTGGAGGTTTGTTTCCAGTGCTGCCGCCAGCCTGGGGCACCAGCAGGCGCACAGTATGGCACAGGGTTCTCCTGCCAGCTCTGAGGGGTCTGTTGTCTCCATCTGCTCTCCTAGGAGTTTCCCTACTCACTGCAGACCCCAGTACCCTGCTTGCATGAAACAAAGGCAGGCACAAGAGAGATGCAGGAGCACACCTCGCAGAGCGCTGCTGCATAGCTCAGCACTGCTAGCAGGGGAGTAGGAACTCCATCTTCCTCATTTCTCTCTCCTCTCTTACTTGTAGGTACTACAAGAAGTTCCCTATTCCTGACCTGGACCGGTATCAGCTCCCCTTGGATGCAGCTGCCCTGAGCTTCACTCATGCTAACAACACCCTGATCATCACGGTGAGCTTTTAGCCAGGCAGGACAGCACTTTGCCCTTCTCTTTATGTCTACAAAAAAGTTAAAATACTTGTATGTGGGGAAACGAGGCAGAGCAGGGAGATCTGCTGAGGGTCACTGATGAGCCCCCTGCTCTGTCACACAGTCAGTGGGGGTTTCAGATTACACGGGGCATGCTGACACTAGCCAGGACAGCCCAGGCTGCAGGAGAGGCCCTGCTTGCTGCTCAAGGTGACTTGCAGGTGGAAGAGTGTCTGTCATGCCCTGTTTTCCATGTATCCCCTCTCTCAGGTCTAAGCAAGGCTCTGCTGTCAGGGACAGCAAGTTTCTCTTGGCTCAGAGCATAAGTTTAAAGAGTCCAAGGACCTGCTGCACTTTGAGGTCTCACAGTCTTTAAATAAATAATAAAATCACCTGCTGGGTTGTGTTGGAGAGAGAGGACACACTTCCATGCACGTGGTGGAAGTGAGACTAGCAAAGCAGGCACTTACTTGTTGATGCAAGGAGCAGACAGAGGCAGACAGATGCTTTTAGAGCAGCAGGTGCTTGTTTTCTTAACTGCAGACATCAGGTACCCAGAGAGCATCCCCCTGCGAGGGAAACCTTGCAGCAGAGCCGGGGGTGCACGTGCAGAGGAAGTAGGCCAAGAGGAGCACCTTCAGTCCTGAGCTTCTGTTCGCTGCAGGTCAAACCTTTGCCAAAAGGCGCCTGCATCCACCACTAAACTGCAGCTGGGCGAAGGGGCTGCGAGGGGAGGAAAGAGGAACTGCAACTCTGCCTGCCTTTCTAAAAAACACGTATTTACACATACAACACCTGCGAGCATACGTTCAGTGAGCACACCAGGGATCTGCCTGACAGCTTGCCAGGATATTCCAGAGGGGTTGGCAGGGGCCAGGACTCCACATCCAGCTGGGAAGGTTCAGTTGTGCTGTAAAAGACACTCCAGATCTTGGCAAACATCCCTAGCGTGATGGCACCAGCTCCCCAAACAGGCTTTGGAAGTGGCTGGTAACCAAGGCCTCCTGTGGCAGGAGGAGCAGAGGCTGAACAGGAGCACTAAGGGCATTCCTCTCTGTCCTGCAGTACCAGAAGCCGAAGGAGATCCTGGCTGCAGAAGAGCAGCTGCAGAAGGACCTGAAGAAGATAAAGGCAGCAAACGACGGGGATGATGACTGCAAGACCCAGTAGGCAGTGCCTGCTGAGGCTGAGGTGCGGGAGAGCTCTCCAGAACAGCTTCATGGTATTTATTTTGCCTTTTCTAATAAAAATTAGTCCTGCTGTTAACAGAGCTGTTTGGATGGATCTCTGTGGGCCCAGGGAATTGGCAGGGCCGTCAATCTCTTTACTGCCTGCTCTGCGGATTTACATGGACATGTACAATCCCTTTGAGTCATGGGAAGCTGCAGCGCCCAAAGGAAGCACCATCCACAGCCAGCAGCCCTCTCCCCATCCTCCTGGAGCAGGAGAGACAGGAAAGCTGGGCAGTTCCCCTTGGGAATTCCCTCTGTCTGCCACCATGGCTGAAGGCAGTAACATTTGGAAAACAAGAACCACCTCCTCACACCCCTTACCTGACTGGGATGTGCTTGGAAGCAGCTCCCTCCTGTGCTGCTGTGCAGGGCTCTCCGGGCCGTCAGAGGGGTGCTGTGGTGACCCCGGTCTCTCTGCAAACAGCATCAGTGCTTAGGCCTGAACGGGCACAGCCTAGGAAATGGGGTGAAGAGAAGGACACCCAACTGCTTCCTTACCGCCAGCCATGTGCATCCTGATGTGCAGGAACCCAGATGCAGCTGCCTTCATTTGCATGGCGAGGAGGGGAAGGTGATGGGGCTGCTGGCCAGCTCAGGGGCCAGCAGTAGCACACCCCTTCCGTGAGGGCACAAACAGGGCCAAACCTCGCTGCAGCCAGCACCCTGTGCATTGGGACAACCACAGCAGTGCTGCTGTCTCTGCCCTGCACCCGCCACCCCTGTGATTAGATGTCTGCGTGCCCTTCCACCCCGGTTCATATTTGAATGGCTTCTACCCAAACAAACCCTACTTTTCAGTGAGGCTGTGGGCTCCCAGCACAGCCCCCCTGCTGAGGGCTGCTTTCAAACCATGAAAACTCCTTGGAGCCTCACTGCTGGGTGGCTCCAGGACCCACCTGCATAGTCCTCCCAAGACACCAAGACTGGCAGAACTCAGAGCCAGTGCGCCAGCCCCACGTGCAGCTTCCCCCTTCCCTAGCATCACCCGAGAGGTGCATCCTTCCACCCATCAGTGCTGGCACCACCACGGGGCTGAGCTCTGCTCCGCTTCAGCCAGAAGAGCCCAAAAGCAGCTACGAGAGCACAGGACCCACCAACACGGGCTGCAGAAAGGGACTGGTGGCAGCAGCAGTGTCTCCCGCACCAGTGATGCTCGTTCACCTGCTCAGCTGACATGATCATTCCTACACCGGGCCTTGCCCAAGTCCCAGTGCAATAAAGAACCTCTCCTCCCACCTCACATTTACTCCGGTTTCTTCACAGCCTCTCCCTGGGGGCACTGCCAAAGACATTTAATATCTCCCTCCCTCCCAATTTCATTAAAGGACCCATAACACACCAAGAGCTGAGAAAAACCAGATGTCCCCACGCCCAAGCTCCGCCAGCTCTCTCTGGTCTCCCATCTCTCACTTACTAGAGCTACCCTCAGACAGGGCCCGGAGTGTTCCAAGCACCACAGCGACAGTGTTCAGCAGCCCCTGATGCAGAGCATCATCTCCTAAGCAAGAGCTTAGCGTTACCAATAGCCCAGAGCCCCCCCCAGAATCACTCCCTTGGGCTAGCAAGTCTTGGGGATTCTACAGCTTTGAGCTGATGGAATATTGTTCCGGCTATGGCACCTTTTGACAGATGTCAGTCAGTGCTTGGGGCACTGAGACATCAACCTGCCACTTACATGAGGAGAATACGTGGCACAAGGGAGCTGGCAGCAAGCAGGCACGAGGGGGAGCAGAGCTGGATCGGGAACCATGCATGACAGGGAGCTGTGCTGGGAAGATCCTGGTGAGAATGTGATCCTGCCAGGCTTTGAAATTACTTTGCCCCCTGAGCTGCTGTCTCACATCCACTGGGAACACAGGGCTGCAGGTGAGGAGCAGGTTGGTTCCACACCCTCCCTGCTCAGGCAGGGGCTCCAACAAAGATCCTCTTCCAATCTGTGTGCATCACAAGGGAAGAGCAGCCACTGGAAACTACCTATTAAGCTCTAACCAAGGACCCTGCTGGGTGCTTTGCCCTAGAAGCACACCCAGTTTGATACAAAACCTATCCTTTACCTATGCAGGGTACCCAAACTCACAGCCGAGTAGGGTTCACGCACCTTCTTCCCCAGGGAGGAGCAGACACCGCTGCATTCACCCACAGCTCATTCACCAGACGCTCACATCCACCCAGACAGCACAGAGCACACCGAAAGCAGTGGGTGTTCTGAGGCCCAATTCAGAAAGCTGCCACAAAAAGGAGCAGAGCCCATTAGCTGTGCCTACAGGATCCCAGCAAAATCACACCAAGGCCTTGGTGTTCGCACTAGTCCAGTTTGCCGCTTCGTTATGTGGGCAGTGAGCCCTACTTCTTGATTTCTTGTTGGAACAAGCCACATGAGACTCCAGGCTTGTAGGAGTTGCCTTCAACGCAGCAGTGTCAGAAGGTCTAGCCAGGGAGAGAGAGCTATTAGACATGCAGACAGCATCTGAAAATAGGCCCAGCCTCCTCCACGATCAGCAAGTAACATCGCAGCCCCTTTGGACTTTGAAACAAAAACACAGTCTCTTTTGTTTCCCTTCAGTTTTATTTAGCAAAACGCGACCATTTCAGCCCTGCCAAGTGCACAGCCTGACCTAATGGCCAGCTTGGGGAGGCACACACTGAAAGCAGGGCTGGCTCTGCCTTTTAGCTCAATTCCTGCTCTTGGCTGCGAAGGACAACACAGAGGCTGTCAGGAGAGCAAGCGCAGGCGAAGGGTTAGCCCTGCTCCAGGCACCTTTCCCTTCCACCGAATCATCCACCCCACACACAGCCTAGACTTGCTTCACACGGCTCAGAGCCTGGCTGATCTCAACCTGACCAGCACACACAGCTGACAGGGCATCCCGGCTCAACCTGCCCCTCAAATGCCGTAGCCACAGAAACAAAAAAGAGAAAAAGAACACAATTAATAAAACAAACCCTAATTTGCACAAAATAAAAGGGTACAGGACAATCGGCCTTTATTTCCACTGCTGGGCAGGTGAGGTTTAGAAGTCAGGCCCTTTTCTGGCAGGGAAAAAAAAAAAAATCCCCTCAGAAGCCTTGGGGGCCATTCTCACCTCTCCTGCCCTGCGATTCCCTGAGCCAAGTGTCAACTCCGCTGAGTTGGGGTGACCAGAAGCAGCCGCGGTGCCCTTCACGGGGCTGTGAAGTCTAGGACGTGCAGGCCTGACGCCAGGGCGGCATACAGATGGGTGGTGTTGAACCGGAGGCAGTACACCGGGCTGCTGGTGGGCGAAGACAGGTGAAAGCTCTGCAAGGAAACAGGAGAATCAACTTTTCCAAGAAGAGCTCAGCCTCAAAGACCCCAGCTGCTGTCACAGACCAAGGGCCAAGATGCCTGAGCAGAGCAGGTTTTTCCCTG